TAATATAATATGTTATTTTAAATATATTTTATTTTTAATATAATATTTTTTTTATTATGTAAAAATAATTTTGGAAAAAAATTGGATAAAATTTAAAATAGATTTAAAAAATGAATATTTTTAGTTTATTCATTTATATTGTAAATATTATTTTACATATTTATTTTAAATATCAATAGATCTAAAGCACAAGATTAAAGAAGAAAATATTACAATTAAAAATGATAAAAAAGAAAATTAAAAACTCAAAAAGTATGTTTAAAAATATGCTTTAAAAAAATTAAAACTTTCAAGCCTTTGGAAACATCTCAAAAATTAATTTCATTATGCACATTAAATCTAATTAAAATTAACGTAATAGCATAACATAATTTTTGATAGCTAAAAAAAAATTGAATGAAATATAAATTCAATATATCTTATCATTATTTAAGTATTGAAAACTCAAGCCATGCTGATCAATTCCAATGGAGTTGATCAATTTAATTTCTATGAAATTCATTTATAAGTAATTCAGATATATAAGAATTTATAATTAATGAATAATTAGAAAAAAATCAGATTGAAAGAAAATATCTAGATAACGAGAAATAATCATCACACACACACACACACACACACACACATTTATAGCTGCTTTCTGCTTTTCTAGCTGCTTTCACCGAGTACAATCAGTAGAACCGTTGTTTCACTACTTTCACGGTCGTACTTCTTTCTTATCGAACTTTGTCCTTTTCCTTTCGATTTATCTTTCATCGATGCTCGCGATATTTATCCTTCCTTCAGGATAATCGAGATATTGAAATATCATTTTAAATTCTTTATTTAAATAATATAGTATATATATATANAATATTAACCGACAATAACATTGATCGATAACAATATGAGCTCAAGACTATAGGCCAAAATACTCTTATAACATCACATAATATCCGGATATATAAGTCATTTCCATCAATTCCTAGAATTGTTAGCTTAATTTAAACTTCAATATTATCTTTCAATTCGTATTGAGATAATTTAACTAATATTGAATTAGCGGAATAAGAAAATATAATTTTTTTATATTTTTTATTATATTGTCACAAGATGATTTTAATTAAATTATTAATATTTATAGGATTAAAATGATGTCAAATATGCCTATATTTGTATTAATTTAATAACTATTAATTTATTTAATTTATTTTTAATAATATTTTATAATTTATTTAATTACTAAAAAATAATTATATTTGATTGTAATATTGAAGTGAAATATATTTTTTGTTATAATGTTATAAGATAATCTTAATAAAATTAAATTAAAACAAATAAAAGCTTTAAAAATAATATATATTTTATTAAATATATTTTTTAATCTTATTTGAATCTCAATAATTAAATTAAATTAATTTTCGTATTAATTTCAGTTATTAAAAAATAACTTGATTGTATCCA